GGTATGTGTGTGTGTGTGTGTGTGTGTGTTTGAGACAATAAGCTGGCCAAGTGGTCGTCTTCAGGTGATACAACCCTCTGTGTGTGCAAGATACCCCCTGGTGGGGCAGAACTTGGGATATGCTTAGTGTGTCCAGGTGTGGACTAGTGGGGCTTTGTTGAGATGTAAATAGGTCGTCTGGTTGCCTGGGAGATGCAGACATTCAAAGGTTATAGAAAGTAAGCAGATTCTACCTCATTCAAATTGTAAGACATATAAGCAAAGAGAATGAATGTATTAGAAGATAACCAGGGCTCAGTAATGCACAATAATCAATACAGCTGTAGTCAGATAAGATAAAATTATGAAAGGTAACTAAAGGGAACTAAAGGCATGAGAAGTAACTAAAACTGATAAAGTAACTAGAGTCTATAAGACAGGGCGATCTTTTAGCAGTCAACATCCATACGCTTTTTCTTCAGAAAATGCATTTTTCCAGTCTCACTACTACTTGGTTTATTGGAGCCCAAGACCCAAAGAAACCTAAAATAATTCTCATGACTCTTTCTGGGTTTTTTTCCCTAAGTCATTTGATTGACTTTCTGAAAAGACATGTTAATGGTCTCTTCAATCAGAGGCTCAGCAGGGGGCCCCTTAACCCTTGGTGGCATCCAGTCCACCAACCAGTCTGCTAGTTAGCTGGCTATTACATGTTTAGCGTTTTCTCTGTGCTTTGAAAAAATCTCCTTTGCACTAAAATTAAAGCACTGAAATTTGCACTAACAACTGGGAAAACTTACATAAAATTTGATTTAGGTAAAAGAAAAAATTAACGTGCATCGGTTTCTACATCTTTTCCCCCAGATCACCTTCTATGAGGGGAAGTCTTTCACTGACAGGAAGCTAGAGGTCAGAGGAGACTGCGACAACTTCCAAGACTGTGGCTTCATGAACAGGTACGAGCAAAAACTAGGGTTTTACTCAGGTTTATAATCTTTACTGTCAGTAGTTTAGACTTCTCTCCGCCTCTCTTCCAGCTCAACACTTCCTGATGTTCATTTCACATTAAAACCTGCCAACAACGGACTTTTAATGTGAAAATCCCAGAGGAGATTTGTTTTCTTGTGTTTTCAGGGTGAACTCTATCCGTGTGGAGAGTGGGGCCTGGATCTGCTACGGCCACCCGGACTTCAAGGGCCAGCAGTACATCCTGGAGCATGGAGAGTACCCAGAATTCCAGAGGTGGAACTCCCACAATGACCATATGGGATCCTGCAGGCCAATCCACATGGTAAGTGCCTCAGACAGGGATATAAATTTTTTTAAGACAAAACCTCTGGTGCATAATTTACATCAGTCTCTTTTTAACATCACATGTAATGAAAATGATTGCCCTTTTTAATGGACCACATGTCCTAAAATTATTTAGTATTACATAATTTTTTCCAGTAAGTGTTGTAAATAAATTTGGAGGACAAGGGAATCCAGTGCTTTTTAAGACCGATTTAAATGTAAGAGTATCAAACGTTGTGGGAGTCCACAGTTTCACTTGAACTGGTTTCTTAGCATCTGCATGTAGTTTAAAAGTTACTGACTGCTTTGAGAAGAGCTGTGTCAGCACTACTACAATACTACTGCCTTAGTTATACATATACAATAATAAATTAAAACAAAAAAGGAAATGTCATAAAACTTGTACATTTAACTCACTAAAAAGAAAATAGAATTTAAAGAATACTTTAAACAAGCTCCATTTAGCTCCATTACATTCCATTTCTGTACCTTTCTCTGGTTTGTTCCCCTGTCTGTCATCCACTGGTCTGTCCATCCCATCCCATCAGCATGGTGAGCACTATCGCATCGAACTCTTTGAGGGCTGCAACTTCTCTGGCCAGTGTGTGGAGATATGTGACGACTGCCCCTTCCTGCAGAGCCATGGGTTTTCCAAGAACTGTATCAACTCAGTGAAGGTCTATGGAGACGGAGCGTGAGTTTTCCTACTCCAGAACAATTTTATTATTATTGATTCACCTGGCATCACTTTGGTCAAACAAAACTGGATTAGTCCTGATGAGGACAGGTGACTAGATGCCAAAACCCAGTGGCTTTAGTGTAACTTGGACTTTGTCCTGTAGCACCAACTCAAAGTTTTATAATATCGCAACACTGACTAGAAGGACTTCCCAAAAGTGGGTGTGGTGATTCTGTAGTTAGTGCAGATTTTTCTATAACTACCTCCGTTGTGGAGATTCGAGGAAACAAACTGATTAGCCTCTGACAGCTCATAATAAAAATGATGTTAGCCGAATTATTTTTCACCGAGTATAGCCACTGGGGTAACGTTACAGCTAACTACAGAGGAATATACACACTATGTAGTTATGACCTTGGATAAGCTGAACCAGATGCAAAGGATTTAGAGCTGATAACATTTCCTTCTCCACCCTACGGGGCAGTGTGCATCTTCCTCAGCCTCGGGTCCTCGACCAGAGGCCTGGCAGTCTGAGGGCTCTGTGCAGTACTTAGCGCTGCACTCCTCTGGACAGAGCTCTGATGTTGTTCCTGGGATCTGTTGGAGTCACAGCTCCGAGCGCTCCTACCACCACTTTGGCCTCCACCTTCCACATCCTCTCCAGCTCCTCTTTTGGATCCTGGTACTTCTGCAGCTTATCATACTCCTTCTTGATGTTGCTGTCACTTGGACCTGCTGTGTCTGTCACTACTTCCTCCTTCTGTTCCTTGTCTACTACCACAATGTCTAGTTGGTTGGCCAGTACCTTCCTGCCTGGATCTGGAAGTCCCACAGGATCTTAGCTCTGTTATTCTCCATGACCTTCTGAGGATTCTCCCATCTGGACCTGGATAGTCCAGCCCAGACTCAGCATAGATGTTTCTGTACACAGTGCCAGCCACATGGTCATGCTGTTCAGCGTGCGCTGCGCCTGTCTGCATTTTTCATCCTACCACTGTGTGTTGGACTGTCTCTGAGGCCTCTTTGCACAGTGAATCAAAACTAAATCTTCTTCTTTCAGCTGGGTGATGTATGAGGAGCCCAACTTCCGTGGTCGCATGTACGTCGTAGAGCGTGGCAGCTACTGAAGACACAGCGAGTGGCAGAGGACCAAACCCCACCATGCCGCCGAAGGGTCGTCAACTACTTCTGAACCCCGGCGTCAAACATCCAGAAGCCACCTTCATCCCCTTCAGATTCCTTTCAAAGCTGTGATCATGTACAATAAATAAACCCAGACTAAAATCACATTTTTTAAATCAAACAATGTGTGTGTGTTGGTTTGTTTGGCTATGCTACACTTGGGTATTTTCAGAAGACGGATCTGTATAGAAATATCTGTAAACTAAATTCAGTGAAAAAACTAATAAAACTGAACAAAAAAAATCTGTTTATCAACTAGAATTAAAATTACAACTGACTCGTGTCTTTTCCTTGAGTCTAAGTCTCAGCTCTATACCCTTGCAAGGAAAAGATGCAGTGGTAAAAATCTGCATTTTCTCCTGAATCTGAGGTTCAGTAACTGGTCAGAACCTCAAAGCCAGCAGTTCTCCCCCTGCTGGATGTAGATCTCTGCATGAGTCTGTTTAGTCCTGAGACCGAGACTGACTTGATGCATCTGGTCTGGTCCTGTTCGTTGCTCTAAAATATGCAGAATAACATGCTGGTGGGTTTTCATTCAATCAACTACAACACTCACAGCTCTACAGTTTATTTTCCATTTAAATGCATACATGTTGATTTAAGGGTCTAATTTGAGTAAATGTTTCTGCACACTGGCCACAGCTGTACAGTTTTTCTCTAGTGTGAATTTGCTGATGTTCTCTTAAGCTACTATCTCATCACAGCAATGTCATATATAGAAGCATTCACAACAATAATGCATAAGTAAATATACTGCAACAGTACTATATAAAGCCACAACATTTAATCATAATCATAATTCTTTAAGTTTGCAACATTTCCTCTAAGACAGGTGCCGAATCAAAATGATCACACGCGGCATGTTCCTTCGACCTTGAGTTAATATTTCTCTCTGACTCTTTCCTGTGACACATAAGACACTCCTGTCTTATTGTCACTGATCTGTGCTTGCTCTTGTATAAAGAACAAGGCACCTCATTGTTTTAACTGAATACACACAGTGCGATTATACAGTGGCTGAATAAACGATTTCAGCAGCATAAACACTGTGTGAATGTCATCCATTCTCCATTGTGATTGTACTGTAACAAAAAACAAAAAATGTTATATAATGTAGATTTTCCACAACACCACACTAGTTTTATGAACATCTGCATGTAGCAAGACCCTTGCTCGCTTCAGAAGCTAAACACCTGGGACTCCCCATCAGTTAGTCAGAACTGAAGAAGCTAATTTTTTTTAAAATTAAATATAGTAATACTACAGTATCTCCGTGCTGTTGTGCTGTTCATCTGATCTGTCCCTTCTGCACAAGATGGCAGTCCCACAGCCCTCCTCCAGCCAGTGAATATTCAAAACAAATCAACTAGATCGCTAATGACACTGGTCGGACTGATCAGCTTTCCCACATGTTTTTCCCCTGGACTGAGAAGGCAAACATTCAGCATCAGAGTTTAGGAACTAGAACTTTATCCACCAGAGCTACACCAAGCCGACATGAAAGAACCAGCAGCTATGAAGTCTGACTGCTGTGTTGCCTCACGTGGGCTTCATCTGGGCCAGTCGGGTTAAAAAAAAGTCACACGTGAACAGGCGACAGAATTAAGTCCTCCTACCAGCAGGTGGCGGTATCTGTAGCTGCCATTCAGAAAGGGAAAGAACAAGAGCTAGACTGTGTCATATACAGTTTTATGTGAACATGCACTGTAAACCTTTGCATATGGCAGCTTCACGTCATGGTGTTACGTTCCGGCACAAAAAACTGATTTACGACAGGTAGAGAAGCTGCACAACAGCATGTTGTTGTTACCGCACTGAGTTCTGATAATAAAGCTGAGTTACTGAACAATCACCACTTGATCATTTTACATGGTGTCAGAAGTGGTTCTTCTCATCCGGACCGTGACGGCAGTGTGAAAGTAGCGGTATGGCTAAGTTTAACCCCCGACAAACTTTTCCTTTGATAGGACGTCCAAATTGCCAGACTGGAAACAACGTTTCCAGTGCAATAGGATCACTACGAAACTAGACAAGGACGACGGTCAAGTGCAGGTCAGTTGCCTCATTTATGCCATGGGCAACAAAGTGGAGAACATTTGCAAGTCATTCACCTTCGCCGAAGAGGGGGGCCACGATGACTTTGATGTTGTAATAAGGAAGTTTGATGAGTACTTCTTTCCCCAGCGAAATATTATACACGAAAGAGCATCTTTCCACCAGAGAGTCCAGCGCCCAGGTGAAAAGGCGGAGTGCTTCATCAGTGCCATGTATGAACTGTCTAAGCATTGTGACTTTGGTGTTTCCAAGGAAGAAAACATCTGCGACCGTATCGTGGTGGGGATACTGGACAAGGAGCTGTCACGCAGGCTTCAGCTGATGGCAGGCCTCACGCTGGCGCAGGCAATACAGACCATCAGACAGTCGGAGGAGGTCGCAGCGCAAGTAAGTTTGCAAGGGGACTCTGCAGGATCAGTGCAGGAGGTGCGGAATAGACGTAAGAATGCTCATTGGAAGCCACGACAACAAGGCAAGGCATGTGCAGACAGACGGTGGGGGGACAACAACAAGCAATGCGGTAAATGTGGCAAAACACATCACAGCAGAGACGAGAAGTGCCCTGCCATGAAAGCTACATGTCACAACTGCCATAAAGTGGGACACTGGGCCAGGGTGTGTCGTAGCAGTAGGTCAGTGAATGAGATTACAGAGACTAAGAGTGAGTGAACCTCGTATTTCTTAGGTTCACTGTGTGAGGCAAATGAGAGTAGTGGAGCATGGACTGTGCAATTACATGTAGATTCCACTCTGGTGGAATTTAAGATTGATACTGGGGCTGATGTTAACGTCATAAATGAAAACACTTACCACTCACTCGTTCCTGTTGGACCCCCGTTCTTTTCACCACGTTAACTCTGAGAGACGAAGCAGTCTGAGTAACTTCAAAACAGTGCTGATTTATTCAATGAACACAGGTAAAATTAACATTACATGCTCAGGAGTCTTTGCACCTCCAACATGCACGCAGGCAGCTGGTAGATGAAAAGCCCTGAACCATAACTGGCCTATACATTATATCACTTTGGGCTAGCCCCATACTACTCAGGGACGCCAAACCGTGACCTCTCCGGTGCCAGCTTTGCAGCTGACCATAGCAGTAGTCAAAGCATGAAGAAAATCAATGTGTGATTGTCTGTTGATTGTGTGGTGTATATCTAAGACATTCTGACATGACATCTAGTGACATGTCATGACACTAAGCGTAAGAAAATATTATGATTACACACATCATAATAATAATACTAAACATTCTGTCTCCTAACAGTAATCAACTTTCTATCTAGTTATCCTTGAACATGAACAACCTGGAGTACCCTATGGGAATGACTAAGCATTTAACAGCCTGAGCTAGATATCCTGTCTACACTAAACATTTCTAATACATGAAGTGTCTAACCAATGTCTGTCTGACTAAAAATACCTAACAATTCTCCCTTTTGACACGACCAAAATTGTGTCAACCTAAATCCATGTCCCATTTTCCCCAGATGAAGCTACCTGGCGTTTTGAGAGGTGAGAGGCCCCCTCCAAAACCACTCCCTCAAGGGTAAACTACAGAGCTGAGAACTTTAGGGAAAAATGAACTAAAAACACAAAAAGGGTTACAGCGTGTAAGCAGGTTTTTTATTGCAGTGACATCTATATGTATGCTGTATGTGTAAACTGATTCAACGCAACTAAGAGCGTTTGAGCAGACAGAATTGTGGAAATGCATAAACATCATGTGTAGCAAGCTTTCATTGGGGTAACTACTACATAGAAGAGAACAAAGATTCCCTTGCATCCTATCGCAATCATAAACCTCACACAACAATGAGAATTTAAGTTACTGTTATTACCATTAATACTTACCAAACTTAA